TCCTTCCCTTCTTCCCTTTCTTCTTCAGATAATTTATAAGATTAAGCATTCTAAAGCTCCTAGTGTTCTTCAAACTTTAAAAGGAGGAAGATATAAAAATTGATGTTGTCATCTGGGGTGGGGTGGCTGCCAGGTTTAGCCCACCGTCTTCAAACTTTAAAAGGAGGAAGATATAAAAATTGATGTTGTCATCTGGGGTGGGGTGGCTGCCAGGTTTAGCCCACCGTCCTCAGGCAGTAAGTTTACATATAAAACACCCGAAACCCACAAAGGTTAACATGATTGCCTGAGGCCACCTCCAGGTCAAAAACCTCTCTCTTATGCTGTGTCTTTCCTTTAGGCATGATTTCCTTTCAAATACAGTACAGTCTAATTGCTTGTAAAGCAAGGAAATTGAACTAGCTGATCTCTGAGGTCTCTTTCAAATCTCAAATTTCATGACTCTTTGACCCAAGTATTCTCTGAAGGGTAAAACCACTCTGCTGGGGGCTGGGGTTGGGGTGATGAGGGCAGATATGAAAAGAGAACACACTGTCCATGCCATAGAGACATACAGGTCATAGAAATATTTAAATAATAGTGCACTGCATCCTTTGTTCCTTCAATCAAATGGCACCTGCCCCAGGAAGCTAGCCTTGATTTCTTACTGTAGTATTTAACCTAGACTTTGTATTAATACTGTTGACCTAAAAGGAAGAAGCAGAGGAAAAATTAATAAAAGTAGAGTTTATTTGGGCCAGTCTTGAGGATTGCAACCCTCAAGAGCATAGATTCAAGTTGTTCTGAATATATACTAGGATTAACAGCAGTTAGAAGTGGATTTTTAAAGAAAAAGAAGAGGTGGTTCCTACATTGTTTATCAAGAATTTACGTTAAAATAACACAAGCTACTTACTGATTGCCTATAGGTTGTCCTTTGTATCACAAATTCTGGGAATGTGACAATAATGGGTGAGGCAGCTAGTCAGGAACAAAAGGACTCTAAACAATTGCCCCCCAGGCATGGGTGTTGGGAGGTTGGGGGTGGGTGTCATAGGCTTGAATGACTGAAATCCATACTCATGTCTCTCTGGGCTTGAATTTTGCATACCTCACTCAGTTCATGCTCTGAGCTATTTCTCTTTTCCCAATACTAGTGAGTAGCATTTATTTATTGTTTATTACCATCATTGCATTTTACATAGAGTTAAAGTTAAACCTTACAACAGACCTATAGGAGAAATGCTCTTATTGGCTTTATTTGACACATAAAGACATGGTCTTTCCACAACTGACTCAACTTCTTGTTGGCATCCCAACTCCTGACTCCTCTCTTCCTTTGAGATACCAGCTTCCCTTCAGTTTCTCCCCTAGGGAAAATCTATCTCAGCATCTCCTGTCTTGCCCTGAACTTAGTTACTTTTCCACATTTTACATTTCTAAAATTTTATTTTGAACACCTTTATTGAGATATTATTGATATATAATAAACTACCAATGTTTACAGTGCATAATTTTATCAGTTTTGATATATGAATATGCCTGTGAGATCATCACCACAAAGAAAATAATGAGTAGACCCATCACCCCCAAGAATTTTTCTGTATTCTCTGCCTGGCAACCCCAGGCAACCATTGTTCTACTCTGTCACTGGGTTGAGGCAGTACTTTGTATTTTCTAGAATTTTCTATGGAATTTATACAGTATATCTTTACTGTCTGGCTTCCTTATTCTGCAGATCTATCTTGAATTTTATTCTTATTGTTGTGTCTACCAGTAGTTGACTCCTTTAAACAGTGACTTTTGAAGAACAGAAGTTTTTAATTTTGAGGAGGCCAGTTTATTAATGTGTTCTCTTACAGGCAGTGCTTTGCATTTCATTGCTCATAATTCTTTGGACAACCCATGTTCACAGTGAATTTCCTGTATGTTTACTTTTGGATGTTTTACAGTTTTAGATTTGATATTTAGTCATATGAGTAATTTTCAGTTAATTTTTTATATGGTGTGAGGTATGAATAGAAGTTTGTGTGTGTGTGTGTTCACTTGCTCCAGCATCATTTGTTGAAAAGACTATCATTTCTCCTTTGAATTGAGTTGTACCTTTGTTGAAAACCTATTGTCCATATATGTGTGGGTCTATTTCTGGACTCCCAATTGTGTTCCATTGATCTATTTGACTATTTTGACATGAATATCACACTCTTTTGATTATTGTAGCTTTAAAATAAGTCTTGAAATCAAATAATGTTAGCTCTCCAGCTTTTTTGTCCTTTTCCAAAATAGTTTTTCTATTTTAGGTGCTTTGTATTTCCATTTCAATTTTAGAATCAGTTTGTCTATTTTTACAAAAAAGCTCATAGGAATTCCCTTAAGATTGCATTGAATGCATATAAAAATTTGGGGAGAATTGCTATCTTAACAATATTTAGTCCTGACCAATGAATGCAGTATATTTCTTCATTTAAACCTTCTTTAATTTCTCTTAGTAATGTTTTATAGGCTTTGGTATATAGATCTTTCTTGCATCATATTTTTCTCTAAGTGTTTTATATGAAATATTTTTGATGCTTATTAGAAGGTTTTTAAAATTTAATTTTGTTTCCATTATTCATTTATAGTATATAAAACTACTATTGATTTTTGTGTATTGGTCTTATATCCTACAACCATGCTAAACTCACTTGTTAGTTCCAGTAGGTTATGGAGATTTCATTCTATTTTCTGAACAATCAGGTCATCTGTAATAGAGGCAATTTTGCTTCATTCATTCCAATCTGGATGTCTTTTATCTCTTTACTTTTTCTACTTTCTTTTAAACCTGATTGTGCTGCTGGCCCCTCTGGTGTGAACATATATCTCCATTTTGTTACTAATCTTAGGGGGAAAGAATTCATCTTTCACCGTTAAAAATTATGTTCTCTATAAGTTTTATTTCTGTCTTAGTCCATTTGTGCTGCTATAATAAATACCAGAGACTGGGTAATAGAATAGAATAGAAATCTATTTCACACAGTTCTGGAGGCTGGGAAGTCCAAGATCAAGGTTGTTGCAGGTTGTCTGGTGTGGGGGCCTGGTCTCTTCTTCCAAGATGGTACCTTGAACAATGTGACTTCCACAGAGGAGGAGCACAGTGACCTCACATGATGCAAGGAGGAAGGGCAACCTAGCCAAATACTCTGTGAAGCCTGCTTTATAGCACTTTAATGCCATTCATGAGCAGAGGAGCCCTTATGACCTAATCACTTCTCAATACCATCACATTGGCCACTAAGTTTCAACACCTGAACTTGGGAGGGGACACATTGCAGTTTAGATGCCCTTAATAGGTTGAGGATATTTCTTTCTGTCTTTAAGTTGCTGAGAGTTTTTATATGCAATGGATGTTGGACTTTGTCAAATTCTTTTTCTGTATCTATTGAAATATTTGAACAGTTTTTCTTTTTAAGTTTTCAATATGGCAAATCACATTGACTAATTTTCTAATATTAAACTCCAAGACTTCCCTCAGAAGTCTTTTCATGCTATCAGGATAAGTCATCATCCTTTTATTAAGCTATGAACCACAGCAAGTGGGTAGGAAGAAAACTTTTTTAAGTCTGAAAGGTAAAAATCAAGCCTCGTTAGTGGATCAGCTCCTGGCCCCTGCCTGCACAGATCCAGTTCTGAGATGTTGGTGAAATGGAGCTTGGCTGGAGGGTAGGGCAAGTTTTGAGGATAGCTCTATGGCTCTTGGAGAAAGGATATGAAATGCCCCTGGGGGACTGACAGAAGAGGATCCCTGGGCACCTTGGTGACACTGTTCACACTTCATTTTACTTATCTGTTGAGGAGCAAATGTAGCTAAAATATGAGAACGTCCTACCATTCCCAGGATCCTACTGGCCCTTGGTACCATGACACTTAGCATCTCCTCCCAGCCTCTCCTTGAAGCTGCTGCTCAAGTGATTTGCTTAAAAATCTAAACATGGTCATGTCACTGTTTACTTCTTAAACTCCACTTGGCTGCCCACTGGTTGTAGAATAAAGCATCCATCCCTTAGACATGACTTAGAAGGCCCTTCATGTTGTCTCCCCAGCCTACCTACCCGAGTCCTCCCATTGCTCCAAACACGCCAATGCAACACAAGTACAAACATTTCTGATATTCAGAAAACCACTTACCTTTTCTCCCAAGCCTCAGTGATTTTTCTGCAATATGTCTGTCCATTTTCAATCTGTCTTTCTCTCTCTCTCTCTCCTTTCATAGTCTTAGGCTTAGAGTTATATTGACCTCAGTTTCAGTTCATTGCACATCATTATCAGTGCAAGGGGTTGCCTTTAACTCCCCAGCATCTCCAAGGATGCTTCGTGTGAGCCATGTAAGAACTTCCCTGGGAGACAGAGGCTCAGCAGCTCAAACGCTGGGCAGAGAGCATGGGCGAACCTAATCCAAGTAAATATCAACAGATTGCTCTCCAGAATGGCTGCACCAACACTGACATCGTCACATCTCAGAAATACTTGGCATGATCCAGTGTTCCAAATTTCCCAGTCTGATAGGAATTAATTACCGTTATTTTGAAATATCATCATATGCTCCTTGGCTTTTTAAATTTCTTGTCAATTTCCTGTTTATATTCTTTTGCTCCATTTTCTCTTGCCTTTGCCTTCTTCTCTAATACCCCCCTCTCTGTCCTCCACATGATACCAGAGAAAATGCCACCATCTGAAGACCCGACAGAGGCCTGTGTGGCTGTCTCAAGGAGGAGTCTGTGGGTGAGGGGTTCCAGCCAGACGCAGGCATCAGCCAGCCCCTGCAAGGACTGGATTTTAATCCCTTTGGCCATGCCTGTCCACCCACAGGAATTCTCTCTAGAACCTTCTCATAGTAACTCTGAAGCCAGTTTTTATCCTCAATAATTATGCAGCTCGAAGGCCAACTCTGATTGCATCCTTCCTCTTGGCCAGCGAAGGTCTATTTGAATTTTCAACCTATGACTTTTCAATCCTTGTGAATTTTTGTTTGTTTCGTTTTAAAGCAATCCTGAAGCTCCAAGTGCACCCCCTTGAGATGACATCTCCAACTGGAATGGTGGCTCCACAAACGGATGTGAGTGTTTGGCAGTCATCCTGGGATGCCTGGTTTACAGATCTGTCCTTCCTGTCATCTGAATTCAGTGTGAAACCTTTTGGCCCAATTTCAACACATGTTGTGAATGCATGCCCTTGCAGAGCAGGGAGTCTGCTCACTTAGTTAGAAGGAGATCAAAAGAGCCAGATGTTTGCTTTCAGAACTGGACATAGGCTTGTCCTTTAAACATGATCGTTCTCTATTTATAACATGTCCAATGCTGTTGGAATCTAGATTCCTACATGACATTCTCTCTGATTTCATAATTTATCTTAGGGATATTTTTAATCATATTGCCCACAGGAAATATGTGTAATTCTCTTTCTCTTCATTAAAAATAATTGAGATCTAGCTTTGTGCCAAAGCCTGTGTTATGTTCTTTGATACAGAAATAGTGCTGTTATCTTCCAAATGCATTGTGGAGCAGGTAAGTGGGGAGAGTGAGGAAGAAAATAAAGGGAAAGGAAGGAGGGGGGAATGGACACCAAAAGAGGAAAGAGCAAGCCTCAGTTTCCTGCCAGCAAACCCGGCTCTCAGAAGTTCAGGATTCAAGGTGCAAGAGAGAGATGTGTGACCATCCCCCGTGGCCCATCCTGTCACTCTCAGCACTCTCGCTGCCATGGTGGACCGGGTGGAGGGGACCAGCCGGAGGCAGGGAGGCAGATCTGGTTGGAGAATCAACATCCCTCCTGAGCACTAGAGCTCTATTCCAAGTCACTTGTCATGGGCAAATCAAGTGTCCACTTCCCAGGCCATTATAAACTGGTCCAAGCCAGATGAAACCAGTCTAAACTGGACACAACACCATTCCAAACTGGCTGAAACTGGCCCAAACCAATTAGAACCAGTCCAAACCAGTAGAAACCAGATGAAACCTGTCCCAACGATGCTGCGACAAATGGTGTTTTGCAGAGAAGAACACTGAGATTCAAGGTCATTTAATGAATAAATTTGGCAGAGCCAAGATTTATAGCCAGGCCTCCTAACTCAAGCAGGTTAATAGTTGAGTCTCCTCTGGGCATAATAACCTTGAACTTCTGGCCTTTGCCACCTTGATTCTGTGATGGCAGTAAGAGGGGAGGGTCCTGAGCTGGGCACAGGGCCAGGTAACTCTGCACATGCCTGGTGTCCACGGCCCTGACCCTTCTTCTCTTGCACTACCAGGAAGAAGGGATTGGAAAGCATCCTCTATCTTTTATATGAACCGAAGCAAAAGCACCTCCTCCCCCTCCTGCCTACATGCACTAACACACATGCTGGGAGGAAGATACAAGGCATTTACTGTGTCATTGCACAGGAAGAATATTCTTGGAGGTGTTAATATATCCCATCTAACTGGTGCTCTAATGAGCCCAGCGGGGGACTGCGTGCTAGTCCCGGCTCAGCAGTTCCCCTTCTGGGGTCCTGTGATGCTTCAGCCTTTCAGGAGCCCCCGGGGTCCCAGATGAGCTCAGGCTGCTTCCAGGAGTCAAGGTTGAGCCCCCATTGGTTCATGCAGACAGTACGGTCTGCAATTGCAAGACAGTACGGTCACTTCTGCTCTGACATAGGTGAATAAATATCTTTAAGAACACTTGTTACAGGCAGTGGCTCCTTTGGAAACGATGCTCAAATCCTTGTCCTTTGCATGCATAGCCCTCTGTCTGATGGAGCGGAGTGGCTGGTGGAGGCTGCTGTGCCTACTGTGGCCCACAGGAAACTCAGAGCCTGGCCCACGCCAGACTGCCCTGTACCGTGGGGGCCTGGCCTGCAGACTGCATTTCCCAGGCTTTGGCTGAGGTCAGCCAATGGGAAGAATTGGTGAGAAACTGAAGACAGAAAACTGGGAGAAGCTGGAATATTGCTTCACCTACACCTTCCCTCTAGAATCATCTCTGGCAGCAACCTCCGCATTTCCTTCAAGGCACCACTGCCCTGGAACAGTCACCAGAATTTCAGCCTCCTCCAAGTCCTTTCCCACCTTCTCTCTTGATCCCCCTGGCTCCTGGGTAGCAGTGGCCTCTTGCCATTGCTAGTCTCATCATTCCTTTTTGGATTCCTGCATCCCCCTTTCCCCTGAATCACCCTCCACTGAACCCCTGTGTTTTAACACTGGAAGAGGCTTCTGCTTAGCTGCTTAGACCCTGACTAATGCAATCACCACCAGCATGGACACGATCCCTACATTTCCTGAGCATCTCCTATATATCAGCCCAGGCCTACACAGTGTCTGTGTTTTACCATTTAATCCTGCCTGCAACCCTGCAACTGTGGGGCATTCACATGGCTCTGATTCCTCCACTGTGTAAGCGATGCCTTTTTTCTGCCCTTGTCTCTAATAAGCAGTCTGTAGGAGACACTCTGAGACCTTGCACATATGCTTCTCATCAGAACTCCTCGTCCACCCGTCCCCAGCTTTAATATCCATCGGTGTTTCTTGTCTGGTCCTATGTAGGTCACAAACCAGTGATTTTCCCACTGCTGCACTCCCTCCACGCAGGCCAGCTGGCCCCTTGGCAGTCTCCTCTGAGCAAGAGCCCTCTTTTGGAGACCTTTCTACAACTACAGTTTTCTGGGCCACACTCCATTTCTAATGAGTCAGAACCTCTGGGCGTGAAGACTGGACTTTGCATGTTTAGTAAATTCCTGATGTGGGCATGATTAACCCTCCCTATGGAGAGGAATTGGGGAACTTGTCCCCACTCGGCTTCAGTGAGTGTGAGCTGCCTGCAGCTCCAAAGTGGCCAAGACGGTAATTCCAGAACTAGGTGGAAGATGTATGTGGCCCATTCTCTGGCATCATCTTATGCTTTATGTTTTGTCAGTATCATGGGACTCATTTGTCCTTCCTTGTGACCTTAAAATCATAGCTAAGAGGAAAAATATTTCAATCTCTTCTCCTCTCTCTTCTTGTCTTTTCTCTTTCTCTGCTTCTCATCCCTCCCCTACCTTCCAACTCCTCATGTCTTTGGACGACCTAGCTATTTGTCACACAGGGCCACCTACAAACTGCTGTCACTTAATAAGGGACCTATTGACTGCCTATGTTGTAGGGGAACACATACCTGTTTTTGTAAGAGATCTTGTAAGTCATGGTGCTCCCAATTCTCTGCTGCTCCATTCTGAGGGTGGTGCTGGCCTCTGTTGGCCTTCTTAAGCACACTAAATCTTCCAGGTTAGTTAATTACTTGTGGCTCTAATGGCATTTGGCTGGTAATGCCACAGTCCATTTTACAAACTCAGGACACTAGATATTCCAAAGTAACACTTAGCTGTGAATTGACCACAGACTTTGAAATATTGATTTGTCTTTAGGGTCTTGAAATTCTTGTGGGTTCGAAATTGGATCCTTAAGTATTCTCAGGAAGTAGTGGTTTTTTATTTTATTGTTTTTTGTTTTTTTTTTCTAAGATCCAATACTTGTAGACCTCTGTCCAAGGTTGTTCTCCAGTCATGACAGACCATGGACTCAGATCCGCCTTTAATATGCAGGATAGCAGCTCATCATAAACAGGCCACTTATTAGTGTCAAGGAGGATTAATAGGAAATATGTTTGCATTATTCAAAACCCATAGGGAAAAAATATACTATTTATCTGTGAGGAATCTCAAGTAGGAGTCCATGGCTCACGTGGGGTTCTGAACACCACATTTTCGCTTGTCTCATTCGTACTGGGCAGCAGTTGACATGTTTGGAGCTGGAAATTCAGACATTAATAAGGCTCAGTTGTTCCTTAAGCAGCTCATGGTAGAGACAGGTGCATGAAAGCAGCAAATGCCTAATTACAATGAATGTGAAAACACGCTGTGGATGCATCAACTTAGGCTGAGGCAGTCGGGGAAGGCTTCCTGGAGGGGGTGAGGAATGAGATGGACCTGCCCTACGGTGGCACTGGGCTGTGGTCCCTGACTGTGCATGAGCACAAATGCCCCACAAAGGATAGATTTGCATCAACTAGCAAAGCGAGGACAGTCGCAGCAGACAGAGGAGCTAGCACATTCCAATGTGTCGGGAGAGAGCATGTCTCTTCTAAACCGGAGCATCAGCATGTCCTTTTCTAATCATTTCTCTGGCTGTTTCTGAATCGGCATTTGCAATCCTGGAGTTTATGGGCTTCAAAGTAAATAACACGGCAGCTGTGGAGAAAGAGTGCCTTTCGCACGGCCTACTCTGGGGCTTTGGAGGCCCTCCCTGGGAGGGCATTGAGAGGAAGAGGAGGGAAGGTCATTAGGTGACCTGCAGACGCTGCTCAGTGCTAATGAGGTCAGAGCAGTGGGTTCCTTCACCGGTGAGCCAATTGCCTGGCTCTATGTGGGCCGTAGAGCCCTTAGGCAACCCTCACCCCACCTAGCCATCCTGCAAGCCTGTCAACACAGAAGGCAATAAGGACCTGGGAGGGCAGGGGCTTTGTTGTTGCCAGTGAAAACAGCAGAGAAAAGAGGTTGTTCTATGGAAGACTATTCACAGGCAGGACAATTCATTCCATCCCACGAGTGCCTATTCATGCATCGTCCATGCATTGAGTCTGCAGGCATTTATGAAGTATACACCTGGGCCTGCTACTGTCCTGGGTCCTGGAAGTAAAATCATTCTGGTTTCTTCCCTAACATGAATCACATTCTCATGGGGAAGCCAGGAGAGGACATAGCTAATCAGGAAAAAGTATACTAAGCAGCAACATGCACAAGGGCCATGGCGGCAGGCTCTGCCCAGGATGCGAGGGCTGGAGACAGTCCACGGAGAAGATGCCATAGAAGGTAAGAAGTGACCTCTTGTCATGGGCACAGCGGAGAATGAAATTTCTGTTTGTGTGTCTTTTCTGCTAACAAGTGGTGAAATTAGAAAGAAAAAAATTCCCTAGGCTTTAGCCTATGGCTTTTGAAGTCAACCTTGAGCCATGGGGGATTCAAAAGATTTTTTATTTTAAATGAGGATTTCATTTGGGGATGATGAGGCCAGAGATAAAAGGTTAATTTAGAAAAGAGGCAGTAGGAGAGTTTGACATTTGGCTAATAGGGTAGAGTGGTATCCATTGTGTGTGCTTTCGTTTTAAGACAGATCAGCTTTTCTTCAGCTGAGGCCTAGGGGATCAGACACAAGGAGCTGATTTTAAAATAAAGGTTA